TTGTTCAGTCTTAATAAATAAGTATATATATATAATACATGGTTGTTTTAATTCACCACAATGTTCTTAGTCAGAGACGGAAATCAAATCATTTGATTTCGGTTTCTGGCTTAGAACATTGTTAAATTTTAATCTGTTGTGTGTCTAATGTCTACATATATGTATATTTTATTGACTTTCAAATTGATTGGTCCTGTAAATGTTATGCCTACAGACGTGGCTTTTAAAAAAAAATTCTGTTGTGGAATTTTTACATCATTATGTGGCTATTGAGCCCTGAAGAAGTTTAAGCATATTAAACGTAACGTAAGCAAGGTAGCGTTTCATTTTAACCTATTGTCCTGGTTCCGACAATTTCAACCTGTATAAGACCAGTTCATGATGAAATATGGACACTGTAGTCCAAAAAATCAAGCGTGCAATGACGAGTTTTTAGAAAAAAAAATATTTTTTTTTCTTAGATACACACATCTGATATTAACACACAATGTAAGATTACTTAGTTGTTTTAAACTTAAAGCAGCATAATTAGATTGACCAAAATCTCCTAAATTTGCATTTTTTTTTACTTTGTTTCTCAACAACACAATGGCGGACAACAGTATGTACGTTTTCCTCGAGCTGGTCTTAAAAAAATAGCGGAGTTTTGTAAAAAGCATACTCAGCCGTGTTTAGATATGAATTTTTCTAAAATATGTAGTATATACGACTGCCTAGTTATAAAAATAGTGGTTAGTTATTGACCGGTTTCTCTCCATTGATACTGTTGCGAGTAACCAACAAAGAAAATCACAAGGATAATAGAATTACACCAAAAATGTATATTATGTTATATTGTTTGTTTTAAATCTTCCTCTTCATCTACGTTCTTTGTAATGCACGCATCAAACCTCGACGCGTCGTCCATAAAACGTTAAAGAATGACTTTAATCTCTACGTTGATAATTCAATTTTATAACGTTTCCGCAACGTCAGTAATATATCTAAGACACCAACGTTCACAATCCATCTATTGTAGTCGGCCAGATGTTGTTAGAACGTGTCTATGTTACTTTGGTCACAACCACTGATAAGCGACGTCGGCCAGAGGTCGTAAATGACATGACGACCATTTTACACCTAATACAATGTTAATTTATCTACAAACGTGGTCACAAGTCGCAAAATTGTTCCTTGGGGTACAACTACTCTCCCCCTAAATACGCCACTGTTTCGCTCCCTTAACTTTAACCTAAATCTGCCACTAGTTGTTGTTTTGTATAAGTTTGTATCTTTTACCCAAAAATAACTCAGAATATTATGTAATCTACAACAACAGATTTGTATTTATATGAATATTACATAAACTAAACTCTTTATTCTACACATTACATTAAAGTTTTAATAAAATTTTGAGAGAAGGGACAGCTGAGTTTCAGCGTCATCGGCAAAATATTTTGTACCTCATGCTTTTTCTATTATATGTCAAAATCCCACATTTCGGAGAACTAATTCCTAATAAAACTTATTTACAGAGGGACATACAAATTTCAAGAGAATCTATCTTCATTAGGAATACAGATCAGCTAGAGTTGGCAAATCGGTCCGCAAGTTACAGGCGGTGCCAGAGAAATACTCAAATACATAAGCGAGACTTGTTTACTATTTTAGCAAAGACTAACATTTGACTTTAGTCTACTGTTATGCCACGTGGTGTGTACAATGTAATTTATTCCGTTGTATTGTTGATATGAATTTTATTTGTTGTATTTTATTATTGATATTAATTTAATAATAAAGTATGTTAGACCTGCCCAAGAGTAAAAAGACGGCCATACGCTGACAAATTTTTCAGTGAATTCCCGGATTTATCCTACAATGGTGCTATAATAATTTGTAAGGTGTGCGAGACAGATCGGATGTGCTGGGACAAACGTGATTGTAAACTTCATGTAAATTCTGTGCAACATAAAACTAAAAAAATGGCGTACCTTCGACAACACAGTTTATGTTCGATTTACTCTAATACTGATTGCCTGTGATGTTCCGTTGTATATACTCGACAAACAACAATTTCAGGAGCTCTGGAATAAATACAATCCCAAGGTGACGTTACCAAGTCGCACAACGTTGCGTACCAACTCTAAGCGAAGACATTGTAAATAAGATCAAATGTGTACTAAAAAATACATGGCTGTGGTTATGTGTTGACAAGACGACAGATTATAAAAAATAATTATATTTTAAATGTTATAGTACGTGTACTGAACCCTCTTAAACCGACAGTTCAACTGTTACTAACTAGCTAGCAAGAGACTGAGTGTATTGGCCAAACAATTACGCCAGTGGTGCTGGAGACGTTAGAAAAATTTGATCTGTCAAAAAGTCAAGTTTTGTGTTTGTGACCGATGGTGCCACGACAATGCGTTTGGCAGGCCGTTCTCTTCAAGAACACGGTTGTAGGTTGTTACATGTTACGCGCATAGTGCATGCCTTACACCTTGTGGCAGAAACTATTCGACAAGGTTTTCCAGAGGTAGATGCATTAATAGCAAGTACAAAAAAAGTGTTTCTTAAGTTTCCTAAACTTCCTCGCGCATTTCATAGCAAGTGTCCCGGTATTCCCGAACCACCACAGTCGATTCTTACACGTTGGGGAACATGGTTGAAGGCAACTTTTTATTATGCTGAATATTTACAACAAATAATAGCTGTGACACTACAATTGGAGAAAGTTCGCACGTGTGTTAAAGCAAGACACCGGTTTTACCTGATTAAGACAAATTTGTGATGGTACTGATGATGCATCTGCAGATCCGTTAAGACTATTTTAATTATGCTTGTATTACATCAATAGATGTTGAACGGTCGTTTTCAAAATATAAGCATATTTTTTTTACCACATCGAACATTACTCTCGGAGACAACCATAGAAATGATGCTGCAAAGTTTTTACAGATCTTTTCCAGTTTGTGATAATCAAGCTAATTAAGAGGGTGCATACATTGTTGTAAATTGTAACAGTTTATTGCTTTTATTACTAGTTAATTTTTTTTATTACTTATTATGATGCATATGCCTATGTTCTGCGGCACATTTTTGCCGACCCTACAGATCACCCTATTTTGTGACATAAATCTCATGGACTAAATATAATAGAAAATATGTCTCATTAGTCATTATCAACATTTTGGTACCTATAAAATGTATCAATACATATAATTTACTTACTTATTTTTACCTAAACGATGAAAATGGAGAACTCTGAAATGACCATTGACCAACCAATACAGATTAAAACAAAGAATAATCAGTAACATCTGGTAGAACCAGATGTTTTAAATTGTATCCTACCCAGCAAAATTACTTTAAATGTGTATACGCATCGTTTCTTTTCACAATAATTTGGTTTACTCCCTTAATTAGCTTTTAGCAAACATAAAATAACATAAAGCATAAGGTACTGATGAAACATTTCATTGAATACATTGAAATGAAGGTTATTTATTTTAGCAAATTGCTCATTTCATATTATACAATATACCTCATTTAGCAGGTAATTTATATTTACTTAATGTAAAATAACAGCCCGTAGCCCTTTTGCTTATTTCATAATATGTAAACTCTGTATAAAGGATAACGAAATGATTCGTTAGTGTAATATTTAACGAGCGGGTAAAAAACAGCATTAAGTTGCCCAAGCAAATAAAAATGTAGGGCTTAGATTGGATTCTATTAAGCTGGCACAATGCATCATATTAGATTACTATTATTTTTGTTACATGCCACTATTTAATAAAATTTTATTGAAACAAAGCAAAATATATAAACAAATTAAGTTCCTCTTCTTGGTAAAAGTTTAAAATATAGAGTGGAATGAAAAATAATATTAACTGAAAATTTTTTGCTAATTATTATTTACTAACTTTTACAAATCTTATCACAGATAAGTATAACATATATCTTTTTAAACAATTATTTTCCCGGCTATTTACCAAAACGCTGAAACTTGGATTACAAAAAAGATAATATGCACATTATGTTCAGTACAACTGACGCAATAATGTTATTTTTAATTTCAACTATTCTGTCTAGTAAAACCAAAAATAAATAAAACACAAGGTACTCACCGGTTGAACACTCACTTTAAAAAACTTTAAAATATCTACCGAAACGTCTTTCTGCTTGCAGAGCTTCATCAGGGTAGCCAGCACATTTAAAGGAGTACCTTGTGTTTTATTTATTTTTGGTTTTACTAGACAGAATAGTTGAAATTAAAAATAACATTATTTAGTCAGTTGTACTGAACATAATGTGCATATCATCTTTTTTGTAATCCAAGTTTCAGCGTTTTGGCAAATAGCCGGGAAAATAATTGTTTAAAAAGATATATGTTAAATACTTATCTGTGACAAGATTTGTAAAAGTTAGTAAATAATAAGTAGCAAAAAATTTTCAGTTAATATTATTTTTCATTCCACTCTATATTTTAAACTTTTACCAAGAAGAGGAACTTAATTTGTTTTTAAATTATTTTATTCGACCCTAAAGGGAATTTCCACTATATAATTTCAATTATTCTGTTCTCTGAAGCCATTAATGTTTATTACATTAAGGTTTACAAGTTTTGTTGCTTTAGATTCTTTAAATGTGCTGGCTACCCTGATGAAGCTCTGCAAGCAGAAACACGTGTCGGTAGATATTATAAAGTTTTTTAAAGTGAGTGTTCAACTGGTGAGTACCTTGTGTTTTATTTATTTTTGGTTTTACTAGACAGAATAGTTGAAATTAAAAATAACATTATTGAGTCAGTTGTACTGAACATAATGTGCATATTATCCTGTTTGTAATCCAATTTTCAGCGTTTTGGCAAATAGCCGGGAAAATAATTGTTTAAAAGATATATGTTATACTTATCTGTGATAAGATTTGTAAAAGTTAGTAAATAATAATTAGCAAAATTTATTTATTAATAAAAATACATTTTTAAAAAAGGTGTTGAAGCTGGTAACTTTGGGGCAGGGTAGCTGAGTTGGTGAAGCGCTTGTAGCTATTTGCTCAGTACTGAATATCGATGGTTCGAATCCATCCCGAAGCAAGAAATTTTATTTGGAATTTGTTTCAGATTAAGATGGAAGAGAACTGTCGATGCGCTAGATGTGGTTTGGACTCCACAATAAACTGTAGGGCCTCGTCTCTCTTTACTCAACACAAAATCCTAGGTTTTCTAGGAGTGACTTGTGAGGTGGTTAAGAAAACATAAGACATAAAGAAAACATAAAACTCCTTTTAACGAATTCGAAAACATTTTGCAGACGAATGGGATTGTTGGTGATTCTTTCGATTTTCTCTGAAATTCTGATTGAAGATGGGCAATTTCAGGAATAGGAATTAGAAAGTTAGATTTTTTTTTAAAGGACAAAAAGAAATCGCATGGTTTAATGTCACATGATCTTGGACGAAATTTACGTACAGGGTGTTCAACGTAACTTGCTACTCCTTATATTTTCCTAATTTTTAAGATAATAAAGAAATGAAAATTTCCTTATATAATTTTTTACGTACTTTATCATCAGATCATATCTAAAAATATACAGTGGGTGTAAAAGAAATGTGTTTATCTTTAACGGAACACTATACATTTTCACATTTTTATATTTGCCTATTTTTTCTGATTTCAAAGATGTACCGTATTTGTATATTTCGTGTAATATTAATAATAACAAAGAAACCTCGAATTCCAAGGGAGATGCACTGTTGCTTGATTTAAATCACTCTTAGGAGGCAGTGATGAAACATTTGGAATAAAAATGTCTTGACATTTTCAATAGCTCATAAGGTTAGTTGTTGACATGTTTCTTGTAATCTACTGAAAACGCAGATTTGAAATAATAGAACGCGTCAGCGGTTTTAAGAGAATATGAAAGAAAGCATTCACATAAGAGGCAATCATCAAAATTTATATTTAAGAGGACAGAAATAGTGTTTAAAGCCACCAAAAAGTTAACAAATACGAAAAGAAGAAAGAATAAACCTATTTTAGATGAAGAATTTGTGCCGAGTATATTATTATATTTCAAGACATGCCACACCTATCAACTAGGAATTGTTGCAGAATATTTGATGTAAATCTTGGAAGCATTTATTCTATTTTAAACAAGCACAAATATACTCAAAAATTATTTAATTTAGTGACAGGACGTCCGGGGTAAGACGCTACAGAACGCAGAGCTGGATTTAACTGTATTCTTCGCTTTTTTCAATGTAGGTTTTGTGCTCAGTATAGTTAGCAACAATTTAACGATTCTAGAAAACAGTATTAATTTGAAATAAAAGTATTCAATTTAAAGTATTGACTACGCATACAGTAGTTTCAGTATTCAAATTCGCTTAATATAAATTGTTATTACCCAGCAAGAACCGCGAGGAGATATGAGCTTTTTTTGTCAGGAAAGGATGGGTATGGAATATTAGTATAGAATAAAGAAATTATTTAACGAGTAACAAGAAATCTTTAAAACAAAAAATGTATTCTCAAAATAGTAACATGAACAAATATTTTTCTCAATAAATATACTAAAAATAAATTCTAATAGTAAAGTTATTACTATAATAAAAACAGAAAGACGTATTTATAAATAAATAATTGTAATAATTAATAACATCCTGAAAGAGAATATTTCTCAAGCACTGAACTACGAAAGCACAAAAACGGTAATAAATAATACAGATATCACAAAATTCACTTCTTCACTTCACATCAATTCACTATAGTTCACTTCATATCGCTTCTTCCTCTGAATCCTTGCCATTCCCATCCTCTTCTTCATTTTCAGATGAACTACTATCCTCGTTCAAATTTATAATAAATTTATTTGCACCATTTATATGAAATTCGGCAATTTTTAAATAATCATCCTCAATTGTAATTACTTTTCTAATTCTTCTTTCCCAATCTTCCTTGTTAATTTTCGACACTTCATTTTGAATTAACTCTAAGTTTTACTAACGATGGGTCCAGAGTTTTCGATTGACCGGCGTGGAATCGTTATTTTCTTGGGAGGGCACCTTCTTTCACCAGTTTGTGTATTGTGGGACAGGTAACGTTAGTCAGAGATGCTGTTTCAACTAGTACATCTACATTATCCAAATTGGGGTCATTAACACGTCACTTCAAAAGATTATTGTAAACACTAAAGCAAATTTGTTTCGCTTGCTCGTTCAAATTTAGTCGATTTTTTCTTACTGAAAGCACTGATGAACTTTGATTTTCTTTATCACTGTAACCACTACCACTTTTATTTTCACAAACACAATAAGATGTAGAAGTAGAGGCCTCCCACGGTTGATATATTTTTACATTAAATGCGATAACCTTCTTAAATTATTTTCAAGAACACACCAGCAAAGAAACAGATATAAAATAATTGTTACTTATAATATTACACTTTCTCCTACAGCGCACTGCTAAACAAAACGGTAACAAAACTAACTGCGAACCTAAAGTATCACAGAATGTAAGAAAAATTCCGCCTCGGTCGCGTGCCAACAAAAACAACAATCATCTTTCTCACTTTAATGTAAGCGGTGTAAAAGACGGAAAATGTCATGTGTTAGACAATTCCCGCCCTCATGTCGCTTCTTATCCCACACCTCCCGTCACTAAAGCGATTTCTCCTACTATACCCATGTTAAAAATTACTACCTCCCGATTTCAAATCGTGTTTGTTATTTTGTGAAAATATCATTTCACGATATAGAACTCATCGATGGTGTAACGCATACATGTGGTAAGTACACAAGAATGAGCAACAATTATTGTTTAATATATTTAACACGTTCGTACAAACACTTGCAACTGCAAGTCATCATTTTCAACTTTCGGGAGTTTTAACAGAAAACATACACATCACCGGGCATCGGAAAATCCTCGCTGTTATAATGGAATTCTACATTAAGGCAGATAAGAATAACCTAGACACTTTAAAAATGTTTAAATTAGTAGAATTTTTAAAACGAAATCCGAAGGGGGAATGGCGAAAAATCTGTGAGATATTAAATCAGTAAATTCTTAGAAGCACTAAACAACGATTACCTAATAATAATACATTTTGAACTTCAATGTGTAAAAATCCACTTTTTATGTGGTAGAAGTAACAAAGTGATTCTTCCATTTGCAACTGAAATAATCCTCTGTTTCTATGACGGAAAAATAATAATAGATAATGAATGTTTATGTATAATTCTTGAATTATTTTTAAGACCCCTTTTCTGACAACTCCACAGAAAAAAATCATACTGTAACAAGTCTGGGTACTATGCAAGTCAAGGCTTGTCTATCTGTCTCTCTCTTGGAAACCCCATTTTGAAACAGTAACAATGTCCTTGATCGTTGGCCATTTACATTTAGTGCTTTTATTTCTAAAAAAAATAAACTTCAGTGTTGCAGTTTTGAGAAATTTAATACCAAAATGTAAATTTGGTTTTTCCTGTAATTACTTGGCACTATCCTGAGCTCAGGTGCAATAGTTTTCACGATTCACAAACCTACTTAAATCAATTTTAAAAATAATAATGGAAGAATAATGATGAGCATTGAGCTGAATTTGAATTTCCTCTTCATCTTCTTGCTATTCTGTTTTACCGGAAATTTTTTAGAATTGAAATTTTTGAGTCCATTTCAACTCACTGTCTAATTTTGTGTATTTTTTCATTTTTGGGTAAGAATATTCCTTCCGATCGATTCTTGTCAAGTTAACGATTTATACATGATTCCATAAAAATGAATACAAGTTATTGATGTGGCTTTATTCAACCTAGAATTCTTTGAAATATCTCCGTACAAAAATAACATAATAAAAATATATTGCAGTTACAAAACTTAGCAATTAAACTCCTGACTTCTTTTAATCACTCTTTCTATTCCGTAATAGTAATTCAAGGCACAGAAACTTGAATATTTCATTTTTTTAGCCACCTAACGTGATTTAAATTATTCTTAAGAAAAGCGTTACAATAAAAGACGTGCCTGCAATAAACTAAATTTTAGATGTAATGGAGAAATTTTAGTGGCAGAATAAATTTGCTTGCAAAGATTACAGTTTAGCTTAAATCAAAAAGGATAAAAAAAATCTTTTATTTGGGAGCAACATTTTTACCAGAATCGACCACTCTACGGTTCATACAACGAATTTGTTCAATGTATATTTAATTTTCAGGTAATTTCACAATGTAATTCAGATATTATAAATTTAGGACAACAGACTCATTTATAAGGATTAAAATCAAGTCCGGCTTGCAAGCTGAATCCATATGATTAAATAGGAAGGTTTATGTTTTAATCTAATTCTAATACCTATTGTTTGCTTTAATTAAATCAGAATCGAACGGCACAATTCGCATCAGATTTCACAATATAAAATTATGCCCACGGACAATTGGTATTAATCCATTCACATAATTTGTGATTAATTAATCTATATTTAATCTCCATAACATTCAGGTAATAACTGAGAATTTGTTATTTCTGTAGAATTTTATTTATAAAGATATTTCATTTCATGTGATCTGTAATTGAGCGGTTGATAATGTAAACTAATACAAAAATGTGTATTATAAGCTTGAAACCAATGCAAAAAACCGCTGCCAATTACTTGGGGATCAGAACTTCCTCACCGTAGTAAAACTTGACGTGTGGTGGAGTTTATAAAGTAATTATTGACGTTTCAAAAAAGTCACATTTTTTGACGTTTCAAAAAAGTCACATTTTGACGTTTCAAAAAAGTCACTTTGACGTTTCAAAAAAGTCACTTTGACGTTTTTAAAAAGTCACATTTTTTGACGTTTCAAAAAAGTCACATTGATGGAATGTCACTAATATATTTTTTAGACATTGGGACCGATTTTGCTCATCATCGAACTCAATCTCTTCCTTGACCTCTAGAATGTGTGTACCAAATATAAAAGCTTTATCTCGAAAACTGTAACTACTATCACAAACGAGACAGACAGACAGATAGAAAATTTTTTCTGTCTGAAATTTTGTGTATCGTCATAATTCGCCGAGATTCGTCCACAAATGCAATAAAAATTTTCAAA